GTGCTCCTGTCTTTCCACCCCCGGCACCACCAGCAAGCTTGGGGCATCGTGTGTCTGAACCTCCTTTGGTGTCCAGTGCTGCTTCGTCGTCGGCTGCACCTACATCTTCAGCTGCGTCAGGTACTCCGATTAGATCCAAACCTATGCCTACCAGAAGACGTGCATCACGCCGATTTCGACGCAGTCAATCGTCTGATCTTAGCTGAGTATGCCCGATGTGACAGGATTTCACTTGTATCTGTGACGCATGCGAGTGCTGAAGTGAGGAAAGAATGTGCAGTGGACGCCAGTGCTGAGAGTACTCTTTCATTCGTGTTGTTGTACACACCAGAACAGTGTTGCAGCACCCTGCTCAAGTCTCGTTCCATTGCGCTAATGTCGAGCAACTCAGCGTGCGATCCGTTGGCACCTCTTCAACGCTGGATTTCCTACACACAACAGGAGCTGATCACAATCAGAGGTGAATTCCGTCATTTTCGCGAAGAAGCCTTGTCCGTCCAGAAGATCCAACAAGCCCAACTCGACGTGCTCACCACACAAATCAGGGACACGGAGGCTCAGGTGGCGGAAGTCATGTCCGCCACCACAGAACTGTTTCAGAAACTTCAGAAGACCAACGAAGTGGTGGGGAACTTGCTGACGGATTTGCATTCTCTTCAATCTGTGACTACTCATTGTGTTAATTCTCTTCAACTACAAGAAACAACAGAGTTGCCCCCAACGCTTCCAGCAGAAATTGAAGTCTCAGAGTGAAACGTGAGCAGTTGCAAACAAGCGTCTGTGTGCCAGTGTCACTGCAAGGGTGTTGCAAGGGATGTGCAAGGGACGTGCAAGTGACGTGCAAGGGATGTGCAAGGGATGTGCAAGTGACGTGCAAGTGATGTGCAAGGTCATGCCTCATGCCCTCAAGGTTCCCTGTAGTGCAAGATAGATTCAGACCATACAAGTAGCTTTTCATCATGTCGGTGTCCAGTTTCGAGAGCGATGCTGCTTCTGTATCGGACGTGCATTCTTCCGACTTTTCGTCAGACCTTGCAGCATCAGACCAAGAACGTGATCGACACGTAGATGCGGCATCAGGTGTTCCTTTTGCCAGTGATCCAGATTCGGCTGATTTTGATCTTGATCATGAGAACATCAATGCGTCTTCATCCATCGACAGACAGTCTGCGTCTTCGTCCTCTGGTCGATTAGTTCCTGTCCTAAAGCCGAAGCAGTCAGTTGCAGAGCAGACCAACATGTTGCAGATGGACCCACCGCGGAAACGCAAACTTCGCATGATCGATGAAGGACCTGACGGTGTGCGCATCAAGATTCGTACTGCACCCAGTACCCAATTTCGTCGCAGAATGGAAGGCACGAGAGTGCTTGGTGACGATTTCTACATTCACAACAGAGCTCAGTTTATTCTCGATTTCTTGAGACAACATGGCCAACGCATTGCCAAAGAAAAGCAAGGCCCTAGAGGAAGCGTTTTTCGTCCACTTTAAAACTTGTGCAGTACGTTCTTGACCGAAAGTGAGAGATTGCACAAAGAAAGTGAAAGAAACTAAAGAGTGCGCGTGTGCAGTGCTGTGCATCTTCAGGTTTCTGCATGAGCCGTCTTGAGTTGCAGCATTTGACATCCAGTGAAATTGTGTAGGTTGCCCAACATGAAGCGCAAGGCCCGCGAAGCCAATTTGCCTTGGAGTACGAGCCGCGACTACATTTTTCGGATGTGGGTTCGTGTATGCAGTCGGGCAACCGGACACGAGACCATTACTCTCCACATCCAGTTGTCAATCAACGATTCCATCAACGTTGCCAAATACCTTGTCGCGATGCAGCTCTGGGAGAAGTTCGGCTGGTGGCCCAGGTTGCACACCTTCCAGCTTGTACAAAACTTTCGTCATCTTCGGTTTACAGAACCTGTTACGACTGCTCAAACCCTCGAACCAGTCGATTTCGTTGTTACGGTATAAAAAGAGCCCACCTCTGTGTCAAGTCAAGAGCAGTGACGAGCAAGGGACGTGCAAGCGGATTGCAAGTGATGTGCAAGCGGATTGCAAGTGATATGCAAGGGTGTGCGAGGTTTGTGCAAGTGCAGTGCAAGAAATGTGCAGAGTAACATGTCAGAGACGTGCAAGTGCTGAGCTGTTGTGAGCTGCTTTCATCAGACATGCAACAGAGTTTTGTTTCAAGCACTCGGAAAATTGTGTAGACCCCGAACATCATGGATTGGGCTGCTTCTGACGTGCTCGACAACATCTTGATGTACGTGTTGCCGATCAGAACCAGAATCACATTCATTACCCGTCTCGATCCAAATGATGACCCAGAAGAGGCACAACCCATAACCGACACCATGGTGGCGTACACTTTCCTGCGACGTGGGATACAGGAGTTTCGGCTGTCCTCTTCGGTTGAGTGGACCATGGGCTTTCAGTCTTTGCATACCACCATCCGTTTTGCACAAATCAATGCCGTGGCATGCACCATGTTGAGCAGCCCGTCAAAAAGGTGGATGAGAGCTGTCGTAGACCTAGTACAGGAGCGTTTGCGAGTGAGTATTGTGTCACTGGCCAGCGTTGCGTACCAAACTGCAACTCAGTGTTGCATGTACTTCGATGCTGATGCGGAAGAAGCAGAAGTTGAATTGCACTTAGTGCATAGACTGCGCTTCCTGAGGTTTCGTAGCCCACTCTCCTAGGTTTCTTGAGCATAAGACTTTCCCATGAAATTCAGTGAAAAAGCAGCGCGCAAACACTGTTTACATTGCAAGGTGAGTGCCACTGTCCTGCAAGTGCTGTGCAAGCGATTGAACAGATGCAATGAGCCCGGTCGGGCTTGTGTGTGTCCATCCCTGTTTCGAAGGGTAGGTAAATCTGACGTGATTGAGCAGGGGGCGCAAGAAGCATTCTGGAGTCTTGCGCCAATGAAGACGCTCCAGTTTGCTTGTGATATCACGGGAAGACGTTCCTGTGACGTACCTGCACAACGGCCGCCCGAAATACCCCAAAGACGCTGTTGTTTCACAGTTGGCCGAAATGACAAGATCGAATAACTTCAAGCAGCTGACTCTTCTGACTTTGAGAGTGTGATTCGAGACCTGCGACACGATGTGTCAAAGTGTGTGTGTGTGTGTGTGTGTGTGTGTGTGTGTGTGTGTGTGTGTGTGTGTGTGTGTGTGTGTGTGTGTGTGTGTGTGTGTTGTGTGTGTGTGTGTGTGTGTGTGTGTGTGTGTGTGTGTGTGTGTGTGTGTGTGTGTGTGTGTGTGTGTGTGTGTGTGTGTGTGTGTGTGTGTGTGTGTGTGTGTGTGTGTGTGTGTGTGTGTGTGTGTGTGTGTGTGTGTGTGTGTGTGTGTGTGTGTGTGTGTGTGTGTGTGTGTGTGTGTGTGTGTGTGTGTGTGTGTGTGTGTGTGTGTGTGTGTGTGTGTGTGTGTGTGTGTGTGTGTGTGTGTGTGTGTGTGTGTGTGTGTGTGTGTGTGTGTGTGTGTGTGTGTGTGTGTGTGTGCGTGTGCGTGTGCGTGCGACACCGCCAAGTCTTAATCAACAGCAGGGGGATGAGACACACATCTGGGAATCCCATCCCAGATATGTGCCGAAGTGTCAAGGATGTCAAGGGACGCCTTGACACGCACCTGCTAAAGCAGCACTGCACATTAGGAAGCTGAAGAAGTAACCATCTGGCACCAACAGCATCCATCTAAGCAAGGATCACTGGGCTGCGAATGTGGGGCAGTGTGGGTGGGGGGTGTGTCGGGGAGTGTGAGTGTGGGTGTGGGTGTGGCGGCGGCCGTAGGTGTAGGTGTTGCTGTGGTTGTAGGTCTAGGTGCAGGTGTGGGCGCGTGCATGCGCGCGTGCGTGTGCGCGTTCGTCACTGTGTGCTGGGTCCTTCTGCTCTGTGATGAGGCGGTAGACCTGCGGTGTTGTTGTCCGCTGGGAGATAACACTGAGCCGCGCAGCGGCAGAGGGCCCATGCCTCGATGCTGAACTCCTCCTCGCCTTTCTTCGTGATGTCTCCGGCCTCCATGAGTTCCATGACTGTGACTCAGCCGTAATTCGAGTCTCGGATGGCTCTCGCCTTGTCCTTGGCCTCAGCCAAAATGAAGTCCTCTGGCAGACTGCTCGAGGTCTTGACAAACTGTGCGTTCAATGCATGTCCTTCATCTGCTCAATCTGTTTCTGTGCTTCCTGCAAGTATTCCTATAGACGAACCCTGACATATGCCAAAGACATGAGCTTCACTATTCCAGCCTTGGCATCCATGGCTGAGCAGTCAAGATACTACCTCGGAGACCTTTTGCAGTTCCGACCAGGCAGGAACCCGCTTGGCAGCCGCGGCGATTGCACAGCGATTCGGGGGCTTGAGCCGGCTTTGGCCAGATTGCGAACACACCCGTGCACCCCGGCCCCAAGCATGTCATCCATATCTGTGAAGACCATATTGAACGACCAGGCCTCAGGGGCACGCCGGTGCCCTCGGCTCCTGTGCAACGAAAGCCCTGCAGCCCTTGGTGCGAGAGAAACTCTCGACTCCGCTTCCGCTCCGGCTCCGGCTACGACGACGCATTCGCTCGGAGCCCTCCTGACAGGCGGACTTAGACGCAGAGCGCAGGCAGAGCGCAGCTCAAGGCTCAAGCCATCTTGGGGCTCCGGTCCTGTCTTCGAGTGTCCGAGCCTCGAAGCCGAGGGCTTTGCAAGGGGACTGCGAGCTCCGGGCTCCGGGCTCCACGCGCCCAGGGCTCCACGCACGCCGCGGCGGCTCTTCCTGACTCCAAGTCCAGCTCGCTGCTTCCAACGATTTCTGGCCGACCGCCTCTGCCCGGATCTTCTGGGAAACGCTGGGCTTCACATCCTTGGCAGCAGCTGAAAGTTAAAGCGAAGCCAGCGGTGCTCGCCTCTCAGGGCCGCACACGGCCTGAACCCGGCCCGGTATTGGAGCCGGCGTTGCCCTTCTGGATCTCGGCCTTGGCCAACACGCACAATTGGATACGTCTGGCGGACCCGAACTGTGCACTCTCAGTCGGCCACCATCTTCACCTTCAGCACCATCCCTTTCAGCTTCCGGCCGGTCACCCCTCTCTGCCTTCAGCCAATGTCACGACCGGTAGCTTCATTGGCTTGCAAGGGCTTGCATGGTGCAAGCTTCGTCAGCCACATCTCGCACAGTTTGGAGTGGCAGAAGGTCATGTTGGAATGGCCTACATGTCATGTGTCTTGCTGGCATCGGCGACATCTGGGTACCCGCGACGCATCGGCAGCATCCAAAGCGCTATCAAACCTTCCAGGTGCTCGGACAAAAACTGACAGATGCGCTTCGCAAGAACTAGGTCTAGGTAGAACGGTGAACCTAACTGAGGCAAAGGCTCCACGAATGCAACACCCTTTGCTGTCAATGGTAGCTCTATGTCCTCAAGACGGAGACGGATCTTTAGCAGCACACGGACCGAAAAAACAGGTGCCACAGCGGCATGGCAAACATGGGCCGGCGTCCGTGACATGACCGAACTCGCCAAACTCGCGCTGAAGATCAGTCCTGCCGGGGACGAATTGCAGGAAGACAGAGGCCACATGCCCAAATCCGAAAGTGACTGAGGTTTGGACTTCATCACGCCGCCGGCGATGCCAGAAACGAAGAGCCTCAGCTGCAGCTCTTGAAATCTGAAGAGGCTCCGGAAATTAGTCCACGCCTCTTTCCATTTGCTGATGCCTGGGCTCGCCGTGCAACCTCGACTAATCTCGTGACTCTTCTGTGCAAGCCTCAAACAAGCAAAAACGGAGCCTCCATCAGTGCAGAAACCTGCACAGCTGATAAGGTCAGATAATCTTACAGCGACTTTAGGCACCGGGGGCACTTGCCTGCACATTTCAGAGCCGGTACCCTTCAGGGCGCTGCGGCCATTTCCGCCATTTAAGCAGCACCGAGATATCCAGCATTGTCGTTTTCACAGATTGATCATTGCATCTTGAGGAAGTGATGGATTGTTCGTGCGTGCCATGTCGTATTTGTATCTCGTGCCTTGAACCGTCGTCGGTGGCAAAGTCAGTCGAGGGATATATCAATGGCATGAATGGAGGGGGGGGCGCTCCTACATAAAGTTGCCGCTGTGAGCAGAAATCGATCACAGCATCAGGCTCTTTGAAGCTGGTAGGACCAGCATGCTGGACACTCACACGACGGCCAACGATTCACTTACAGTGGCTGAGGAGGAGACCTCTGCAAGATGATCCAGACTTCTCATGCGGTCCACGCCATCCAGCACAAGAAGCGTCACCCTGAGAAGGCACACCTGTCCGTCTCTGGATGAATTCAGCTAACCTACTGCTCGGTGCAAGGCACCGAAACAGGTGAAAAGTGGTTTCTCAACAAGGAGCCTGGTATTTGCTGGCAAGGTCGTGGATCCTTTTCGGTGTGCCAATGACGATGTGCGATCCTTGGCTCGGTTGTTGAATCGCTTGGAGAGCAACAGAGCCCGGAGGTTCGCAACACTTGCAAGTTCATCAGCAGCTGAACAGTATAGAATGCCGTAGATTGAACGACCACCGCCGCCACCACCACCACCAGGACGACGACTACTGCTGCTACTCCTACTCCTACTCCCAGTTCTACTCCTACTCCGACTGCTCCTCGTTCTCCTCCTCCTCCTTCTACTACTACTACTACTACTGCTGCTACTACCACCACTACCACTACCACTACCACTACCACTACCAGTTCCACGACGACGACTACTACTGCTACTACTACTTCTTCTCCTGATGCTGCTCCTGCTGCTACTGCTGCTGCTCCTACTCCTACTCCTACTCCTACTCCTACTACTACTACTACTGCTACTACTACTACTACTCCTACTACTGCTACTACTGCTACTACTGCTACTCCTACTACTCCTACTACTCCTACTACTCCTACTACTCCTACTACTCCTACTACTCCTACTACTCCTACTACTCCTACTACTCCTACTCCTACTCTACTCCCTCTCCTACTCCTACTCCTACTCCTTACTACTACTACTACTACTGCTACTACTACTACTACTACTACTACTACTACTACTACTACTAAGGGTTTCGGCTGGAGATGAGCTGTCGGTAGTTTCCCTTCTCGCTCTAATGGCACACTGGCATTCGCTGCTGATTGGGAATCTCTTCCTACTTTCAATACACCACTTGGTGGAGAGCTCATCATTTTCTCTCTGGCTGCCGGGGTCCCAAGTCCCCGGACCTGCTCTGATCATGCTTTGCGAAGATTCAGACAACAGGCAGGTTAACCCGAGGGTTGACGGTCGGACCACTACGACCTCAGGAACTCTGCAAAGGGTGAAAACCACTGGTGGGGATTTGCCCTCAGGAGCAGACATAAGCAAGTGCAAAAAGCGCGCTTTTCGTCGCGCACGACAGCGTGCGGCTCAGGCAGGCGGGACATGGTATCGTGGCCAGTGGAGAAGCTCTAAATCGCTTGGAGTACAACCTGCTCCAGGAGTGAGGAGTGAGTGCACAGCTACGGTGAAAGCACCGCCCCCTGCTCGCGTACTGCCACGCTTAACGGTGATGACGTACAATATTGGTGGATTTACTTCGGAACTTTATGATACTTTTGTGGATTGGCTTGAAAATAGTTGTGCTGCTGACCTGGTGATGGTGCAAGAGACGCATTGGGGCCTTGGGAAGGAAGAAAGCAGTTGGAAGCTGCCAGGGTGGCACGTCATTTCTGCTCCGGATGCCAACTCACGCTACTGTGGAGTTGCTGCCTTTCTGCGAAGGAGTCGATTTCCAGAGACAGGAGTGAGTCACGTGGTGTGGATACCGGGCCGGCTCCTACATGTACATTGTCACTCTGACCAGATCAGCCTTGATGTGGTGGTGGGCTATCAGTGGGTGGCTCAGGAGAGGATGGCAGACAAAACGCAGGCACTGCGCCATCGCTTCTGGACGCAGCTCAGCCTGCTGCTGCAAAAGCTGCCCACCAGGAATGTCTTGATACTGGGAGCTGACATCAACGTTCACTGCAGGCCGATGGCACGCCACATAGGACGCGGACTGCTGAAGGCTCGGAGAGCTCCAGATCTGGAGTTCGAAGAACTGGTGAAGGAGCGACAACTGGTCGCTTTGAATTCTTGGGGCCGTGCGAAGCCTAGCCACTGTCGGACGTTTGAGCATGGGGACACGGTCTCGCAACTGGACTTCCTGTTCACAAGGAGTCGACATGCAGACCAGAGTGCCAGAACAGCTACGCCGGTTGCTCTTGATCTTGCACCTTGGAGGGCAGGGCCGAAGCATTTTCCGGTTCAGGGAAGTGTTCCTTGGGTTCCTGGATGGTTAATTGCCCCCAAGAAACCTACTCCCTCCAGATTTTCCTTGAAGGCACTAGGCCAAGCGATTCGTGGTGGCACAGCGGCTGCTTTACAGCTGAAAGGACAGTTACAACGTGTGCTAACTGAGCTAGGTACTAACGGTACTGTGCGGGAACTGAACAACAGGATGTTGCCGATCTGTCGCGACCTCTTTCCGGTGCAGCGTTCTGTTGACAGGCCGGACACGGGTCAGCTTGCAGTTAAACAAAGCATCGAGCGCATGTGGTGTGTGCATGAGAGATTAGTGGTGCCTGGCCCCTATCTGTCCATTCATCGTGCCTCGGAGGCGGTTCGACGCACAATGGAGTTTCGTGAGGCCTGTAAGGTCCTTCGTACCGCGAGTCGACAGAAGAGAAGGCTATGGTTCGAGGAGCAACTTCAAATAGCTGAACAAGCCTCCAAAACCCATGACTTGAGGACGATCTACGGGGTTGTTAGTCGGGTTGCTCCTCGTAGGAAACGGGATAGGGTTCGGATTCGTTCTGAGGGTGGTCATTTGCTTTCGGTTAAAGAAGAGTTCCAGGAAATCTTTCAGTACTTCTCTACTGCCTTTAGCCGAGACGCTGCATTCAGTCTGCCAGACAACGCAGAGCCACTTTGCTTCTCCGAGTCTGAGAATCGAGCTGCGATTCGTAGCCTCCATTCGGGGAAGGCAGTTCCAGATAACAGTATACCGGCGGATGTTTGGCTCCTGGATGTTGATGCTATGACTAGTTTCTGTACTGCGATACTGAATGCTAGTGCCGTGCAACAGAACGCCTTTCCGGAGGAGGCAACTCGCTGTCTGCTTTCACTGCTGCCGAAGCCGAACAAGAGCAGTCGCAGGCCCAAAGACCTTCGCCCCCTAGGATTGCAGGATCCCTGCAGTAAGGTTTTGGCCATCGCCCTTAAGGCTAGGGTTCTGGCAGAAATAGGCACCTTCCTCGATGATAGGCCCCAATATGCCTACTGCCCTGGGAAAGCCATAGATGGTGCTATAGGTCGGGTTTCTAGACATTGTGTTCGGGTTCGTGAGCGGCTGAAGCGCGGAGCGCAGAGCGTTCATGCTCGCCGAGATGGCCAGCCAGAGAGCTCCTGCTATGGAGGACTGATGCTCAGTTTAGATCTTAGTCGTGCATTTGACGAGATCCCCAGAAGCTCGCTAGCGGCGGCGATGACGCATGCGGGTATCTCTCCCTCGCTGCAGCATGCCATCCTGGCAATTCACGAACAATGCAAGTATGAAGTACGACATGAGCAACATACTGGGACCTTTAGCATGGACAAAGGAGTTCGGCAAGGGTGCTCCCTCGCACCTTTATTGTTCGCGATATACAGCTGCTGGCTGTTTGATGCCCTAGCCCAACGCACCACGCCGGCTTGGGCAGAGCGACTTGTCACGCTTTTCGCGGACGACAGTCACCTGTCGTTTGAAGTTGAATCCATGGCGGAGCTACAGCAAGCACAGCGTGCCATCCGGGTGATGTTTCAGCTACTGCAGGAAACCGGAATGCATGCTAATCCGGGGAAATCTAGCATAGTTCTGGGTCTTAGAGGGAATGCTGCGCGACGCTGGATTCAACAACATCAGAGCCGGGTGGATGGTCAGCTCCTGCTCAGTCTGGGCACGCCCAATGTGCCCCTGCATGTGCCGAGAGTCGCCTCAATGGTTTACCTAGGCATCGTGGCTTCGTATCAGAAGTTCGAACTGCAGACATACGAACATAGGCACAAGGCGGCATTGCACAACCGGCAGCGTCTTCTGCGAGTGCTACATAGTCGCTGCCTACCGCGCCAGATGCGGGTTCGGTTGTACATCGCATGCATACGCAGCACTCTGCACTATGGGCTTCATGCGGTAGGGGTTCCGGTGGAAGTACTTAGGCGTCTTGAGGCTTTTGATGCCAGAATGCTGCGAGGACTAGCAAAGTCACCGGCCCATATCACACATGAGCCCACGGATCGTCTCCGGCAGCGGCTACAAGTAGTCTCGCCACATGCTGCACTTCTGACCTTGCTTGAGGGTCGAGTGAATCGGTGCAAGGAGCTCGACAGCCGGGACTGGTTTAGGCGGGTTCAGGAGCAGCTTATGGCGGTAAGGGTTGACAAAGACTGCACGACGTATGTTGCAGAACACGAACATGGCTGGGGTGTTCCTTGCACTGAATGCGGGCAGCTCTTTGTCAGTCATCGCATCATGCGTTCCCACCGAGCTCGGAAGCACAAGAGGTCCTCCTCAGAGCCAGAGCGAACAGATGCCACACGTCGCTCGATAGGGGTTCTTACTGCTGCCGAGTATGGTAAGATTGCGAAAGGAGGTATGCCCACGTGCAGATGGTGTGGTGCTAGCTTTACTCGGGTTGAAGGGCTAAAGAAGCATGTTAATCGGGGTTGCAGTCGCGTGGTCTCCACTGCCGTGTCCGAAGCTCTGGTGGAACAAGTCCCCGTACCAGAGGTCCAGGTAGCCTCTGGACGGGATGAGGTGCCGGAAACACAGGCGCCGGTGCCTCCGACTGCGCCAGTCGAAGAGTCCGCAGATGTTCCCCTTTATCAAGTGGACTCGTTTCGACAGCAGCTCCTACTTGGGTGGAAGACTACGGTGCAAAACACTCGTTTTTGTGAGTCGCTGCGCACGTTTTGTGTCTTCTGTCATCAGTGGATCTCGCTCGTAGGGCCTGGTTGCAAACAACATCACAGGCTTATGCATGCAGCTGCCTATAGACAGGCTACTGACGCCGCGGCTCGAGTGAACACCTTAGGGCTGGTTCCGGAGAGCCCCTGCAGATACTGCCAGAAGCCGTGCAAGGACCCGCGTAAACACTTACGTGCGTGTGTGCCGTTGTATCAGGCGTCACTTGCAGAATTGGTTCTTCGGAGCGAGCTTGATCAGGAGCAATCCGCGACCCCTGCTGATGGATCAGGACCCGACGGAGCGTGCAGTGGTGGCCCAAGGAGAGATCGACATGGTTCTTGGACGGAAGGGCGCAGCGCCATTGGATGCGAAGATGGGCCAGGAGGGGGGCAATCAGGACAAGGCGGAGGGCTCCGAGAGGGCGCCCAAGTGGACCCGTCAAGAAGGAGGCGGCAAGGGTCCCTCAAGTCATGGTTGGTCCGGATGGGGTCAACAGAAATCCAAGAGGCAGTGGCAGAAGACTCAGGAAGGTCAGCAGGACCAGGCCGGGGCAGTGGATCTCCCGCTGCAACATTTGGTCACAACCCTGACCAAAGCAGTGCTTCGCCACGAGGCCGACTTGTCGCTTTATCGAGCCGATACGAGCTTTGTGATATTCGTCGACAACTCCGCCCACTCTTGTCTTCAGACTCTCAAGGATGCGGCAGCCAAATGGCAGGAACTGTTCAGCCAGGGAACGGTGAAGAAGTCTCTCAAACACTACCTCATGCCGGGCATCTTCTCGGGGTTGAAGCTGGAGCTCGAGGCCCTCCAGACCGACGAGGACAAGCAGAAGCGGTGCCAGGCGGCAGGCTGGCTCGGAGAGGGTCGCACGGCCCTGGATCCGGTGTGGAACTATCACGCCTGGGATCCTCAGCAGAAATGCGAAGTCAGGAGCGAGACGCACCCCCTGCCTCACACGGAGGTCTTGAAGGACCTGGAATCCTTGGTTCCGAAGCTCTATCAAGAGGGGGTGCTGCTGAGGTTCAAGTGCACAAAGCGGCTGGAGGATCAGGAGAAATCCGAAGTGGTCCCCTTCATGGCGGCGATAAGCCTACGCTCGGCGGAGGCCCAGGAAGTGCATCGAATCCTGATGCGGCTGGTCGGATGCGCCTGCTGCAAGCTTTTGGGCTTTCGCATAAAGCCCGAGCGGGGCCAGCGCACACAGATGAGCAAGCTCCTGGAACAAGCCTACAAGGAGGTGGATTTTTGCGAGTGGACTCGCAAGGATCGCGACTGGAGTCAGGGCTCGGCCTAGGTCGGTCGAGCCCTTTCCTCGTGCCCAGGTCGGCACGAATGTGTGTACGCCCGGGCCTCACTGTTCCACGAGCGCGGTTGGCAAATCCGACAGGGATGAATCTGTGCTATGCAAACGCCTCCTTACAGGCGTGGTGCTGGCTACACACACTAGCGGACTCCTCAGAGCGGCTAACTGCCACTGCGCAGGCGGGTTATAGGGCGATTCGCAGTGCCGGCGGATTGAGTGTGATTCATTGCCGGGTGTTTCGGGGGGTTTTCAGGGATTGGCCGGAGTTGAGACGGCAGCATGACGCAGGAGAGTTCTGGCAGCACATGGTTGCCGAGCTTCAGCCACATGATTTTGCAGGCCGGTGGCAAGCGCGTCTAAGTCTTCCTTTTTTGATTTCGGACTCGGGTACACTAGGAGCCCCAGTTCTCCTCACCAATCTTAGTGGCAGCCTTTCACAAATGATCCGCGTTTGGCATGAGCAATACGCAGTCCATGGGCTGCTTGACCCTTATGGCCTCATCTGTCTGCAAATATGCCGCTTTCAAGAAAACCTGAGTAAGGATCGTAGGCCGATTGCCATCGCTCCAGGTGAGACGGTTCACCTGCCTTGCTTCCGTGCTGCCGACGATGGCATAGAAGTCACGCATACTGACTACCAGGTTGGAGTGATCATTTTTCATATAGGGGCTGCTGTGCACTGTGGCCACTATCAAGCTGCCCTTTGCTGCCCACGGGTCCATGACAGTACGGGTGAAGTTAGCTGGTTCTTTATGGTCTGTGATGATCGTAAGGTCCCGCACCCCGCTACCCCTAGAGAACTTCGTATGATCAGCACGAACTCCTACCTGGTTGGTCTTCTCAGATCATAGCCCGTATGGGCGACTGCTCTTTTCTGACAGCCGTGTGGAGCAGTCGCCCTCTGAATGTTCGTCACTCCGAAGCGAATCGACGGCATTTCCATGCAAGAAAGTTGAGTTCCGAAGCCAATTGCCAGTTTGTTGCATGCGTTGTCATTTTTCATTTCCTGTTACACATTCGTCAGTCCAGTGCGAAGAACGCCTGCATACAGAGAGTCTTTATGTGGCAGCCAAGTTGCCTCGAAAGTGGGTGCGTGAAATCTTTCCCACACTGCGCTGAGTCTGTGGCTCAGTGCTTCTTGGAGCCGGCAGAGTGTACTGCACTACGCAACCTGCTCTGCATCCCTGCCTCCGGAGAGTCGGGCTCGGCATGGCAGGAATTGTAGAGGTGCTGCAGTTTCCCAATGATGTGCATGATGATGTTCTCTCTGCCTACTTGCTGTGGAATGCAGTGAGTTTGTTCTATGGGTGGTGCACAGGCCAATCACCACCGGCAGCTATAGGCCTGCTGCCATGGAACGACTTGATTGCATGGGCCCAACAGCGGCTCCCCGCTCACCTCATGATGGAACTGCATTGCTATGCGGATCGACTGGATCTGCACTATGCGTTTCGGGTGCATGCGTCGCTGCCGTTGCCTACATTTGAGGACCCTACGCGAAGCAGTCGGGCGGAGCGCATGGCACAGCATCTTCTTGAGTCTGGAGCGTGCACGCTTTGGGGAGCAGCAAGGCAGGTTGTAGCAGCTTTGGTGCTCGAACTGCCTAGGCATGCATTTGCTAAGGCCTGGTCACAGGGAAGCAGTATGACATTTGGGGTATATGGCAAGGGCCCCTTTACAGGTCTATGCAGGCAGACGCTTACCCACTCCAACACAATCCGACTCTTGAATCAACTACTGCTGCGCATATGTCCGCATCATCACTGGAGCACCATCACAGTACTGCACAACTATCGCACCCCGGTGCACCTTGATCGACAAAATGGCCCGGAACCCAACCTTCTGATGTCTCTGTCTTTTCATGAACAAGGCGAGATCTGGATTGAAGGGGAGGACGGGCGGGAATTTGTTGACTGTGATGAGGGGATGGTCCGTGGAGAGCGCCATTCGCTGAATCTGCAGGCCATTCGTTTTGAGGCCCACCGATACCGGCATTGCACATGTGATTGGTCGGGCACTGATCGTGTTATGCTGGCTGCATATACAGTGAATCGCTGGGAACATCTTGCTGGCCACCATTTGGAGCAGCTGGAGCGATTGGGCTTTGTGTTGCCACCCCGTAGAATGGTGCACCAGCCTGGGCTTCACCATGATCGCATTCCGACGGTGCTTCGCGATGGTTTCGTGTAGGCTCGACCTCTGGGTTTTTCCCCCTTCTCACTCATAAGGTGTTCTGTACAGCTGGAAGGGACTTGCCGACCTTGAGGAGAGCTGCCGGTGCTCTTAACCACAAAAAGTGCTTGGGTTGGTGCAACAGCCTGAACGTACTGCTGAAGCTTAGCCAGCCGACACGCTTTGGTGCCTCACACTCTGGCCTTTCGCTTGCCCTGCAATTGAGGTCATGGCCATTTGCATGGTGCCCGGATGTGTCAGGGCGAGCTCCATAGGCAGTGAGCTCTGCTGTGACACATGCAGCGAGGGGCATCACAGCAAGCGCTGTGATCGAATGGCTCGTGCGGCGATCAGAATGAGCATCACGACGTGCTTCACGCAATCGTGTCAGCACTTGACAGCTCGTGGCCACACACACTGCTGTTCGGTGTGCAGGGACACTGAAGGTGCCCTGCACAAGAAAAGCTGCCTGCGGAGACAAGGCAAACTCCGCCGCCGTCTTGAGGCTGATGGCATTGAAGGCAGACACAGCAGTGGAAGTCATATGGCCGGGACAGGAGCTATGCCAAGACTTTCGATGCAGCTGGACGAGATGGATTAGTTTTTGCTTATGTAGCTCTTGAGAGCGGAACTGCCAATAGTGCAGTGCGGTCTTGAACCGCCAGACAAAGTCTGTCCCCTCGTCGGACGCAGATCGTGCGAGACGGATGCAATGCAATACTACTACTACTAGTACTACTACTACTACTACTGCTACTACTGCTACTACTGCTACTCCCTACTACTCCTACTACTCCTACTACTCCTACTACTCCTACTACTCCTACTACTCCTACTACTCCTACTACTCCTACTCCTACTCCTACTACTCCTCCTACTCCTACTACTACTACTACTACTACTACTACTACTACTAGTAGTAGTACTACTACTACTACTACTACTACTACTACTACTACTACTACTACTACTACTACTACTAGCCACCCCCCCCGCCTACCAACCACCTGGCGCCTTAACCCATTCTGTGACAGCTGCAGAAGCTCCCGAGGCTCGTTTGCCTCAACTGTCACCGCCGGTGAAGTTGCAGAGGCTCAAGCCCCAAAATTGCGACAGCAACTGGAGCTGCAAACTCGACCGGGAAGAAACTGCCAAACCACAGGTGGTCGGATAGTACGAAAACGCTGTAAATACCGTGCAAAACGCCGGTGCTGCCAAGAAGGTTTTTAAACACTCCCCAAACCTGGCTGGCATCATCTTCTAAACATCAGAAACAAAGATGCCAGCTGCACGCGGAGGGGCTCACCAACACCCTTAAAGCCCAGACTTCAGCGCAGGAGGGTTGGCTTTTGAAGTGGTGTGTGGTGTTCGAGAAGCTGCCCGTACGTCATCATGCCACCCCACCACCCCCGGAAGCTGGTTAGCAATGGGTGATTACAAGCTTCCCCCCAACCGATTCCGAGCTTCCGCCGAAAGCCCTCGCAAAGCCCAATGTCGAGTTCGCAACGTCCAGAGGTGCGTTTGGTGACTATATGAGATGGTCCGACATCACGAAAGTACTGTAAAAACCGAGAAAAAATGCTCTTCTGGAGATGTTATTCGGGGTGTCTGCATAACGAAGTCGTCACCACCCCCCCCCCCCCACAACACCCCTCCCCCCAAATGCAAGTCCAGAATCGAAAGCTCGAGCTTGCAAACCAAATGCTTTTTGAAGTTTCACAAGATGTTCCTACATGACGAAAGTGTTGTAAATGCCGAGTAAAACGGATGTGCGCGAGAAGAGTATGTAAGAGGGGTGGTTGGTTGGGGGGCCAGGCGAGAGGAGGAATGGCAGCACAGTATGGAAATGTCGTCATGCCGATGCCGGATCCACCTTCACCTTTGCCTACATCAGCGCCTGTGGCAACCAGTGGAGCTCTGGAGGTCGCCGGTGTGATCGATATTTCCTCGGAGGATGAGCAAGTCCACGATGCCTCCTCTGGTAACACAGGGAGTAATGCCCGGGGCAGCCAAGAAACACATGCATTGGCGGGCTTGGATGCTGATGAGGAGATGGCGGTAGCTGAAGCTGTGCAGCCGTGCTGGCCTAACACTGCATGCTCGCCGGACCTCTATGCAATGGATTGAGCCATGCTGATGAGGGCAAAATCATGGAGCTATGAACTGCGAAGCAGTGGCCTACTGTGATGGAGGCAGTCGGCATGCCGGGCACAGTCTCTCGCGAGCATCCTTGATGGACTATGCAACTGGACGTTTTTGTTACAGTTGAAGCTCAGTTAGTGTTGATTTACCATAGAAGGATCCTCAATAGCAGGATGCAGCCACTGAGCTGCCGGGCTATGCCTGCCTTTCGTCAATCATCGGAGCGACGGTGAGACGTGTGCAATGCAATACCACTACCACTACCACTACCACTACCACTACCACTACCACTACCACTACCACTACCACTACCACTACCACTACCACTACCACTACCACTACCACTCCCACTACCACTCCCACTCCCACTCCCACTCCCACTCCCACTCCCACTCCCACTCCCACTACCACTACCACTACCACTACCACTACCACTACCACTACCACTACCACTACCACTACCACTACCACTACCACCACTACTACTACTAATAATAATAGTACTACTAATACTACTAATACTACTACTGCTAAGCGGCTACTACCAGCACTGCTAAGCGATGACGACTGCTGCTACTAATCATAATAGTCGTAACGGAGCGTCTGCTGGCATGCTGGGCGACGACTATGGATCCGCGACAGCTTCACCGTTGGACATGCCCGACTGGCTTAGGGGAACTGAAAATACGCATTGAGCGTGCCCTGTGCCACATAGATCTCACGTGCTGCCTAGGTGTGCAATTTCATATTACCCCCGAGAAAACCAATGAATCCAGAAGTTAAATAAAATTGAATCTTGATTTAATTGTTCGGTTTTGACATACCTTGGACCTTCCAAAGACACAATTAAATCGGGTTGTAATTGTGTCGGTATGCATTTCTCTAATAAACAATTAAATCATGAGTTTACTGTCTCCTGTGTGCCAGTATATTCTACCAGAGACTTGTGTGCAATACGCTCGGGGGATATCACATGAAATCATGATTTAATTGCAGAATTTGGCGTCCTTCTGGGTAACCACCAGTAATGTAGTTGGTTCCTATCACGGTCCAAAGACTTATAGCCTAAATAAGTCGATCGCCACACTAGCGGGAATCCACGTTCAATCATGATCTAGTTGCCGAATTCGTCCTCCTTGGTAACCACCAGGAATTCAGTTGGGGTTACTATCACGGCCCAAGGAATTTTAGCCTAGATGAGTAGATCGCAACAGTAGAGGGATACCACATTAAATCATGATTTAATTGTACAATTTGGCGTCCTTCCTGGTAACCACCAGTAATGTAGCTGGTTCCTATCACGGAAAGCTAGCCTAAATAATTAAGTAGACTAGTTTAGTCTAGTCTACTCGGTTCTAATCTGTAGCCTACTCTAGTCTACTCCAGTCTACTCCAGTCTACTCTAGTCTAGTCTAGTCGAGTCGAGTATGATCACGCCTCCGCCTTGCCTGCGTTCATCTCTTTGGGGTCCACCCATTATCATTTCCAACGCCATGGACCGCCATTTCGATGCCACCGAAGCAGTCCTCTGAAATTTTCTCTTGCTCAAGATCATGCTTCTCCTTTTCGGGCTGTCATCTACCATTGCTTGCTGTAACAACACAGTGCCTCTTAGGGACGCGTCCCGTAGACACACCGGCACACAATGCAGTAGACAAACAAGCATGCGGACCGTGCATCTCACCTTAAACCTTGAGCCTGAAACAAGGATCCTGCGAGGCAGTTACATGATGATCTAATTGTTGCGTTCTTGCCAACTGTTCGAGTTGATTTGATTGTTCCAGATTTGGTCATTGATTCAGAACAGTTAAATCATGATTTAATTGTCGCCTCGGGTTCGGATAGTGTAACAGAAAGAATTAAATCATGATGTAATTGTGCCGTGTAGGAGCAGGACAGGCGTGGAATGGAGTGTCGCGCAACGTTCAGGGCCAATTAAATCATAAGTAAATTCTGCGGGCCTGAGGGGTCCAAGGCGGCCCGATGCCGGGCAATAAACTCGGGAGTTAATGGTTTTTAACTCTTGGATTCACTGCCTTCCCCCGGTGCCAGGCGCTGCCCTGTGTGCGGTTGCCTTCTTCAGCCCTCGGGGGCTGGGCATGGATGCTCGTGGCGAGACTTTGCCTGCCACATGCTTCTCATGCTGGTCACTGAATCCAGGTCCATGCGAATTGTACCAGAACTGCGGGGACGTGCTGTTATGCTTGCTGCCATCATCAGGAAGAACGTCCTCGTCCCATATCCTGGAAATCTGCCGACGGCTTCGTTGGGCAGAACCACACAATCAAGCCCTCGAATTCCGAATGTGCAAACAAGTCCAAAAAACTATTGCAAGTGACCCCCTGCATCTTGATCCGAGGATGGGTCTCAAACACAGACAAACAGACAGACAGACAGACAGACAGACAGACAGACAGACAAACGAACTGACCAACCGACGACAGGCAGACAAACCGACAGACCGACAGATAGACAGGCAGGTAGGGCAGGCAAGCAGGCATGTGGGCAGGGAGGTGCGAAGCCGAACGGACAGACAGCACGGGGAGATCCCTGTATTCTGAATATTTAGCAAGTCTTGACTGTCATGTGCTATGCTCCTGGCACCGCCGAGGCCGATCATTCAACTAAGGCTGGATCCACACGATGTCATCTCGCGCAGCTTGTCGGCACGCGACTGCACTGTGGCTAAGAGGAAAACGTGCATGGACCATGCATGTAGCAAAAAGCTTACATGTCGGACTCAACTTTGCACATTTGTCGCCAAGTGGCACCACCACCTGATAGGTTCACGGCACGCAAAGTCTTCCCACCACGGCCTTCCAAGACAGCCAGAGCGCCTGTAGCAACAACATTATCTATTTGCCTGATGAGCGGAGCAAGCCCATCGCACAGGTCGCGACAGAAGCTGCAGAGTCCTGCATCTGGATTGCAACCCCCGCAGTGCTACACTCCTCTACGCTCGTTCCTCTGAAGCTTTGTTCAGATGATGCGGGTAGTCCTGTGTCGCTGTGAGGACCAGGGCGACAGGGCCTGGCTCCTGCATATGGCATCGAGGCGACAGGACTCCACTTAGAAGGCAGAAGAAAAGTGAGACTTAGCCTCCTCGCTGAGCTTGTGCTGGTCGCCGGCCTGATTCCCACCCGCACGAAGCTCACCCAGAGTACTCCTCGCGAAGACCACCTGCATGGCCGCCATCACCAGGTAGGAAAGAGCCTGACCAAGATCCAGAGAAACGAGTGCAAATCGCACATACACGATTCGCCACACAGTATCACGCAATGCAGCAACCTCCTGGCCAGCAGGGATGTCTCTTGCCACGGCAACGGCATTTGAGCCTGCAGCAGACAACATCCTGGAAGGTTGCAGCAGGTCCAGGAAGGGGGCGGTGTGCAAAATGTGCAGACATCCCATACAACCCCTGCTGAACGTGAAGCCTGCCAGAACGATGGGAAGCAGCTGTGCCTCTGAAGAATCACTGCACGTCTTTTATGGGGTGACCTTCTTCACTCGTGACTGCCAGCATGTACTCACCACTGCATGAATAACAGTCACAGTCCCGAAACACTGCTAGCTGTGCTGCATGTTGCACCTGAAGCGGGCTGGGCGGCTGGTTCTGCAACGCCTTTGCACGAATTTTTTCTGGCGCTGCATCATGCAAAAAGCAACAGCAATTGCATTTCGACCAAGCAAGGGCTACAGGAGATGCAACAGCCCGCTCTCACTCAAGCAGCCTGCAGCAGCCACTCAGGTACAGTATCCTTCAGGTCCCGGAAGCTCTGCAGTGGAGGCACAGTGGTATCCTCCAAGCACGCAGCCTGCATGAACTGCTCTAAGCAGCGAGAAAGGCGAAAGGCCTCCCCGGCAGGATCTTCTATGGACTCGATTCCGAGGCTCCGTCGCCTGCTGCACGGAAGGCTTTAGATGGCATCTAGTCTAGGGAAATGCACCACAGACCCACACTCTGCCCTTTTGCAATGTCCGCCACTAAGCAGGTGTAGAAGCAGGCAGGCTGCTGTGAAACAATGCTCTAGATCCTAGATGAAACAACCCTTGCTTTTCCCCGGGGGAGCAAAGCATCAATCCAACACAGCAAGAGAGTGACCTTTGCCAGCTCCCTCAAAGAAATAGATCAGTGCTAAGACGATGTACGTGACTAACAGCATCAGCCCCTCCAGCCAATTCGATGTGCCATTGCTGAGAATGCTTGAAGCCAGGAAAACTGAAATGAAGAGCACAGCAACCTGAAAGGAGTGGAAATCCAACGACATTTCCCTATCGAACGCCCATCCTACCAGCACGCTGAAAGGGGTTACCAAAAGGGCCATCTGGCACGAGGACCCTGCTGCAACTCCAAGGGCAAGGTCCATCTTGTTCCGCATGGCCACCGTGATGGCCGTGTAGTGCTCCGCAGCATTCCCAATAATGGGAAGCAATATAATTCCAATGAACTCCTGAGAGAGGTCATACTTTTCCACGGTACCTTCGATAGAATCGATTAAGAAATCCGTCGAGTATGATGTCACTACGGTTGCCACCGCCAGCACGACAGCCGCGAAACCCGGTGTCAGATCCGGCACTTCCTCTTCCTCCTCGCCAGAAAGGTCTTCAAAGAGTGCTTGGTGAGTTCCGAGCTGAAAATACAGGTACGCGGCATACGTGACCAGGAGAAACACAGAGGACCAGCGAGATACCTGCAGCATGTGCTCGAACTCTTGAGTTTCCTCCAGAATCTTCGCATACAGCGTTGGGAGAGCTATTGAGAAGACACTCAGTGCCAGCAGAGTGCACTGAGTTGAAGCACCTTGCTGAGAGTATTTTTGCGTCGCATAGAACCATCCGCCGAGGAGAAAGGCACATCCCATTACCAACAGCAAGTTGCTGAGAATTGAGCCCAAAAGAGTGCACTGAACAACGACGACCTGGTTCCTTCGAATGCCCGCGATAACTAGAAGCATCTCAACCAGGTTTCCAAACGAGGCATTTAGCAGTCCGCCCATCGTCTGACCGACGGAGGCGGACAAATCCTCGGTGGACTTGCCGATGATCCAAGCGAGCGGAATAATGGCCATGAAGTTGCATCCGAAGACATAGGATGGTTGAAACCCCAGCGCATGGGAAGCAAAACCCAGCGGCACGAAGCACACCAGCAGAAGAGACAAGATGGGGTTCGTCTGGACAATGTTCAGTACTCCTTGGCTGCAAGACTGCAAGGCCAAGGCCACGAGCGGATGCACCACCGGTTAGGGAAAAGGGGCTAATAGAGCCAGGCTGCCGTGAAGATTGCTTGGCGATGTGTCCAAGTCACTGTCGTGCGCACGAGCGATTTCAGCCATGGCACACAGGTAGAGGCATTGAAGCTGCAAACGTTCCTTTCCACTGCAAGCTCATCCAGACTCTCGCGTGTGTGGCTTAGTGCGTCTTTCCTCGCTGCCCATAGTAGCGACACTGCTATATCTCAAGACATGTTCAATGAGTTTGAGCCAGGGTAAAGACACGAGCCGAAGCCCCCATCGACCGCGGGAAGTGTCTGACAGACTGTGTTTTGCCTGGACATGTGGAATCGCTTTTCGGCAGGACTGCTCACTTATTTCAAACCTTCACCGAAGGACTGAATTTGAGCCTACCAAAAGCCATCTACGGAGTTTCTTGAGTGTTTCTTTCAAGGTTGCACACCTTCTGTTCTCTCTGGTGCAACATCCGCCTCTTGGCGACCTTGTCAGTGCCTCCAGAAGTCTCCACCTCGGATGCTGCAGACGCTCAGCTCGGAAGCTGCCGGCTGACACCGAGCCCGAGCACGACACCGCATCCGGATCAAAGGGGATGAAGGATCTCTTGAACCTGCTGCTTGGACGCCAGTCGGCTTGAGAAGAGGTTCCGGCTCAGCGTCGCAAACCGAGGGTTCAAGGACTCGGAGCTTCTAAAGTGCACATGCAGGCGCGACGGGCGCCGCGGCTGCTGCCGCCAGTCCAGCACATCCCAGTTTTCCACCTGGAGGGTTCGGAGACGGCTTGAGACACCAGAGACCAGAGACCAGTGCATCTTCATGCAAAACTCTGCGACGTGGCCGCTCCTTGAGCTTGGAGGCCATGAGAGCTGATCCATGCTCACACGCTGTCACACGCTTGCGGGTTGCTGCTTCCAGGTGATCGTTCGCTCAAATGGCTACACGTTGCCGGGTCTTAACACGCCAGTGCTGCCGTGGTGTCGCATGCCGGATCGAAACAAATCGGATCGAAACAGATTTCAACATGCGGGTACTGCAGACTATGCTTGACGACATGGCGGCGGAAACTCCCACCCCGAATTCGAAGTGCAGGATGTTAACCGCCACTTCAGCAACATACCTGAAAACGAGGGCTGTCTGCAGCACAAAGCCAGCGAGACCCTGCTAGGATCAGCTTCTCCAACGAGATGCTGTCTCCCAGACCCTGGCAGATCAGTGACTTGAAAACCAAACCCGCAATAGGGAGAGGTAGGATGAGACAATTGGATCGCTCTCCCAGCTCTTATGATGGATCTCGTGCACTAGTCTAAAGAATGCTTTTTACAAGGCCACAGCTCACATCCGCTTGGCCTGCGAAAAAATCTTCATGCAGTCGTCATGGAGCTTGTTGCCTGGATACGATTACAAACTACAGGATGCATGGAGGAAATCTCTGATTTTGCCACCTCTGAGTTCAAGGATCCGCAAGGCTGTACATCGGCTGCTGCCGTAGGGGACCTCGCCATGAAGGTCACGAAGAAGGATGCGTTGCAGACACAGACACATTAAGATCCACTACTGCGGATCCGGCCCTTCCACTCAGCATGGCTCTTTGGCTGAGCACCGCCTGACCATCTGGAGCAAGCTGCTTCTAACTTGGCACAGACACATACTTTATAGTGTACGGCCTTCAGAGCTTCTGCTGTCAAAATTCCACACCCTGACTCGTTCATCGCCAAGCGCTGCAAGCGATCTGTCTCAGAGTCCTTCACAGCCTGCGCATGCGGTTCACGGTCGCACTAGCACCGTTAAATGCCCAACTCTTGCCAACGACTACTCCTCTAGCACACACACACACACACATATACATGTATATATATATATATATATATATATATATATGGGTGGCTGTCAAAATTAGGATCCCTTTTTGGGTCCTTATTATAATAGGGTACCCAAAAAGGGACCCTAATTTTGATAACCACCCATATGGTCACGCGCTCCGCGGCCCCCCCCCGTCCCACTCCAAAGGTCAATGGTCCGGACATGGGGTGGGGCCCCCCCTTCCCTGTGGTGTGGGGTGTGGGATCCCTCTTCCCCCTGTGGGGTGGTTGTGGGGTCTTGGGGTTTAGGGTTTAGCTTAAGCTTTTGAGTTATGGGTTTACGGTTACAAGGTATAAGGCTTCGAGGCGACAAGGGCTTAGGGAGGATTTGCGGTGTATGTTCTGCTTTAGGCTTGGAGCCTGCAGTTAGGTGGGGCTTAGGGTCGGGTGTAGGGTGTTAACTACAAGTTAAGGTTACGCAAAACCAGGGCATGCGCTCCGTCATAGGTTTACGGTTTGCTTGCGAAGGGCTTGCGTGCGGCCGACCCGTTCCGCACATACCAGCCCCCCCCCCACCCCCAGCAGACCATACCATTGAGGGTACGGGGGGCCTGGGAACGCCAGACGCCTGACCATATATAAATATGTGTGTATGTATATATATATATATATAATATATATCTTTTGACCTACGTACATACATTCATGGTGCCATGCCCCCGGCCCTGCCATGCCGCGCCGTGCCCTATGCCATGGCCCATGCCACGCCCCATGCCATACCCCATGCCATGCCCCTGCCGGGCACGATGCCATGCCCCCTGCCATGCGCCATGCCATGCACGACGTGCACCATTGCACCATGCCGTGTAGTGTGGCACCATGCCAGACCATGGCGTATCATGCCGTGCCATGCCTGACCAGACCAGTTCATGCCATCCCATACCATACTAGACCATGCCAACATACATGACATACATACATACGTACAGACATACATACAAACATGCGCAAACTCCGACAGATTTCACGGCCTTCAACCCACGAGAAATGCACAAGAATCCAGAAGCCCAATCCACGACACTTTGGCAAAACTTGAAAACTAAAACTTTTGACATGCGACATTTACACAGCTTTGACACACCATTGCGTTCGACCACGAATTGCAAACAAGACTTGCAAAATCTGGCCTGTTTCGAGGGACCGACAATGGCCACACTTTCTTGCCCTTCATGAAGAAACTGGAAAACAGGATTGTCGTCGGATGTCTTACATTGTTGTGGATGTCGTGGAAAGCGTGGCAGCGCAGACCCAAGCCCTGAAAGAGCCAGGAGCGGGAGCATGAATTGGGGAGGCGGAAATGGAAAGGACTGTAGCGAGAGCCCGATTCTTTGAGTCGGAAACACGAGTGGCACCAAAATGCAGCACTCCGGCGTGAGCACTGCTTCGGGAGGTGGAACTCGGCGGATGCGACGTGGGACAGCAGAAAGAAGAAAGAAGAAAGAAGACGCCGCCGACACGGCGACATGGCAGGAGCTGCGGAGCTGCGGAGCAGCGGAGCGCCCTTCAGCCTTTCCGCCGGGGCGAAAGAGCTGCGGTCGAAGTTTCGGCAGTCGGCACGGAACTCGTTTACTCACTGCTCGTGTCTCACGCGTACGCGTTTTGGGAAAGCTTTGGAAGCTGTAGAAGGCCGACAGTGGACTCAAGCGAGACGGACTGCAAGTGAGCTGATACAGATAAACGGATAGAAGAAACTTACACTTAGACAAAGCCAAATGTCAACCAAGATTTAAAGTCAGGCTTCTTCGGCTTGGACATTCAGGCAGGCTTTGGTGGTTGCATGTTGAAGCTGAACCTGTAACACAGCAGACGAGGCTTCTTCTCTGCAGAAGAACCCGAGATGATTTGACGCGACATCAGCTCAACAAGGCAACACAGCCTCGACAATGATTTTTGCACGATCATCATCGAGTCGATTCTCACTGCAGTCCACATCTTTCAATCCTGGAGCTTTCCGGAGGCACCTGAGCTGATGAAGGCTTGGTGCAGTTGCTCACGTTGCTGACGGCTATGTGCCGTCGAACTCACTCCAGACCTCTCTCTTGTAAGCTTGTAAGTAACACACTCCACCATCTCTGGCGTGACCAGATTTGCAGTATACTCGAAGCCTGATGTTTGGCACTTTCGGGCAGTATCCCCTCCCTCATGCTTGCACGCTACAGACGCCCAGCAGACATCGGTAGAGAGCCTGCAAGCACAGCCAGTCTGGAGATGTTGAGAACCTCCCACTTTTTCGAACCTGGGGGGGAGCACGGCTACGGTGCGATTTCCGCCGGTGCGTTGCTGTTGGCTGTAAGCTCGATGCTTTTGACAACGGAAAAGAGCGCAGTGACATCCACCACACCTGTTAAACAAAGTATAAACAGCCAAACGGAGAATCTCGACGGCATGTTTTCAGCAGTGCAACGGCCTATCGGATTTCTGCCCACGTCGAGCTCCACGATCCATTCATGGCATTTCAAGAGCTTTTGCAGGCCTTGTCTTGCAAGACTTGCTCTTGTCTCTGTGCAAAGTGAGGAATGTTTGTGTTCTAGGCTAGATTCAGGCAGAGGCCATCTTTCGTGCATCCGACATTTCGCAGGCGAAGGCAAACCTATCAGAATCCATCAGGTAACACAAGCTGGCAGTAGACAAGAGGGCAGGCTCAGGCCGCCACGCTCCTCACAACAGTTTGGGCGATAGCCTTCGGGGTATATGCATGTCAGGTTTTGCGGCGATTGCCGATACTACTGGCTTGCAGAAACACGGCTTGTGCATGAACGCTCAACATGTACGTTCACTGCTAAAGAGCATACAGTAGCAATAGAAGTACGAACTTTCATGATATCAATGCCGACCACCATACCAATCGTGATACTTACAGCAACAACGACAAGTACGACTACTAGTGTCATAGTATGATGTATCCAAAGTGAGACTCCGCGCAAACAGTAGCACCCTAAATATCAGCACTCCTCATCCTAGAAAAATCCTCAAGGAACATGGACGAGGACCATGGCGCCAGCTCCAGGCCTTGAACTAAGGGTTCAGGGGCTGAGGGTTTCGGACACACGAGTCGCAGCAGTAGCAGTAGTAGTACCAGTATTAGTCCTCGTAGTAGTAGCAGTAGTAGTAGTAGTAGTAGCAGTAGCAGTAGCCGCCACAAGTGCTCAAGCGGCCGCGCTGAATGAGAGGTTTCGAACAGGCTTGGGGCGCAACTGCCGTGCTAGAGGTTCCTACCGGGCCCTTTTCTGAACAGTAAAGGTTTGTGCCTCCTTCCACGCCATGGTCCTCTCCCTTTTCATACAGGAGCTGCTTTGAGCCGCCAGGTCCCAATTCCTGGGCCCAGACACTGTTTAAAACATTGCAAAACTGGGCAGGCGGTAGGGTTTCCACTTCCGCGCAGTGGAGGGAGTCATTAGGCTTCGGTCTCTTGACGAAAGTAGCGGATGGCGCAATTGCCAGTGCACTCACAAAACTTTGCATCTCTTCGTAAGAATTCGTTCAAGACAGCATGTAGAAGGACAGTCCGTAGTGACGGGCCCGTACCATACCGAGGGCAGGTTCTGACACCTACCCTGGTTGATCGTCTGGGGGTACGCCCCCCACCCACTCGAAGAGAGCTTCAGTCACAGACTGCTGACTCCCCTGCATATGGCACAGCCTCCCGCAGGGCAGGCCGGTTGGAAAGATCCATCCGAGTTATTTCGTGGAACGCGGGACACCTAGGTCAACAGCAATGGGGCGAACTCAAAACGTGGCTAGCAGCTGAAGCCTCTCATCACTGTGACGTCCTCATATTACAGGAAACGCACTGGACTGAGACCAGTGAATTCAGCGTTTCTGGGTGGTACTGTATCTCCTCAGCCTCGGAGTCTACCAAACCACATACCCGGCCTAAACAAGCTGCGAAGCGTAATACTCGGCAAGAACCGCGAGCTCCATCCACGACTCGCGCTGATGGAGTCATGATCCTATTCTCGCCCAAGTTCGCCCCCAAGAGCTTACGTTGGAAGGAGTGGAGCCCGGGTAGGGTCTTAGAAGCTCGTGCAGACATTGCAGGTACTCGGCTGGTTGTTGTCGCGGTGTACCAACACGCTTGGTCTTCTGCCAAGACCATCCAGTCCAATAAGGATGACCGTGCTAAGGTACTATCCGTCATGTCCAAGGTGATCAAGCAGGTGCCTAAGAGGGACTCCCTTATTGTAGCAGGTGATTTTAACACTTCCCTGCGTCCGAGCCCTCCATTGGTGGGAACGCACGTGAAGCCGCCCACTGAGGACCGCCCTGACGAATCTAACTTGTTTAACCTGCTGCTCAGGTTGCGTTTGGTTGCCCTCAACACCTGGCAATGTGACCATATAGCCACCTTCTCACAAGGAGGAGTGGAGTCGCAAATTGACTTCATTTTAACCAAAGAATCTACGGCGGGAGGCAAAGCAAAAAGGTCAGCCCCCTGGGTGGACTGCCCGTTGGGAAGCTGGAAGAAAGGAGGGCATTACCCGCTTAAAGCTGACGTACCCCTCCAACATCACTGGCTGCTCCCATCCCATAAGCTCAGCACGCGCCGTTACGATTCACTAGCTCTACAGGCCTCGGTCAGAGAGGAGGATGAGACGGCAAAGGCACTGCACAGCTGGATAGCTTCCAGAATTGACACCTGCCAGGACCCCAAGGCATGGAATGCGTTGCTTTTGGAAGGTGCAGAACGCTTTTTTCCAAAAATTCCCAAACGAAGACCGATCCCGTTGGAGTCAGAAACCCGACGCATGTGGCGGGCCCGTACCCATGACAGGGTTGTGAACACAACTCCCTCAGCACAGCTGATCGAGTCACCTAACGTAATGGCACAGCCTCCTAATCAGCACACGCCACGTCCGCCAGACACTGAAGCTGAACTGGCGCAAGTGGCACATCGCCAGGCTGTGAAACAAGCAAAGAAAGATAGGATCGCGAGTTTCATATCGGAGGTGGACGCGAGTCTGGCTGAAGGTGACCAACTCAGCACAGCTGATGACCTGGTCAGTCTTGCGCATCTGACACTTTCGTACAGGGTGCCTAGCATCGCCACGCTGATTCTTTCAACAAAGTTCCAGCTGCGCATCAAAACGCAGGGGGACCTTAGAGAGCAGCTCATACCGATTTACTCAACTTCCTGAGCGCGCCAGCCTGGCTCGAGCCTCTAGCATCATGGATCTCACACTTTTTGCGGACCTACCGGGTCCTGATCAAGTCCCACACTTTCTGAATCTGGTACATCAGCTGGACGAGATTCTCAAGCGTAAGGCCTCGCAACTATACACAGACCCTGGCTCGGCGTCTTCTACCAGCTCTCAGTCTGCTGAACGATGCACTCTGCCCTCGGGCAAGGCTCGTCCTCCTACACCGCCAGCTCCCAAACATCGACGAACGAGGCTCCGGAACAGGACACTAGGAAAGCATCTTCAGAGAACTAGGCACTGCCGGTGGAGCCAGCTACCAGAGAGCAAAACTAATTGCCATGCGTTTTCCTGTAACTGCACTCAGCTGCTCTGTAACCAGGTCACAGGGCTCAAGCTACCAGTGGCAGGTAGCACACAGTGCAGCACGGATTCGTCACAGACGATATCTCCCACTCACGCTGGGATGTATCGTGCTCCCTATCCTGATGGAGTGCATGAGGCTCTTGGTCGGAGCCATATGCCTGGACTTCGACGACCAGTCGACCCCCAAGTGACGGCCGCCATCTCGCCAGAGCTTTCAGGCGAGAGCATCGCTACGGGATACGCCAGCGCGGTCTTCAATTCCAGTGCTGCAAACTTTGTGCTCAAGAAAGTCACGCGGCCGCAGGAAGAGTACATGGCCAGACGAGAGTTTAGCAGATTATCGCGCCTCCCGCCGATCAACACCATCATCGAGGCTTTCTGGCAGCAAGGCCCAACACTGTTACTGCCACGACTGTTCCCTGCCCATATCCCCTCCATGACAACTGACCATGTCGTCAACCTCGTGGCTGACATCCGGGCTGCCCTCAATGCAGTGCATTCCAGCCAATTGGTCCACGCGGACATCCACATGGGCAACATCATGGTTCGCTTTGACCCCCCCACCTATGTCTTGATCGATTTTGGAGGTACGGCGGGGGAAAGTGTCTATCCTCTTAGCTTGGGCTACGGTGCCCTAGGCCAGGGAGGAGCGCTTCATCGTCCTCCTCACGAGCTCATGGAGCGTCCCACCAGGACCGTCAGAGGCGACTACTACCGGCTCAGCAAGACGATCTCCGTCGAAGTCGTGGGCAACAAGTGCTGGCGCAACACTGCGTCGGGCTTCCCGATGCCCCCGAAGCTCCCCAAACACCTGCGCGTCGAGCTGGCAGAATGGGAGAATCTCGCTGGCCTCACTCCACCCAAATGGCCAGAATCTGCCTTTCCCGGAGGAAGCTGGTACGAGACTGCCATAGATCCCTCGATCACAGTGCAAGCCGGCTTGTACGAAGAGACCGGCAATATTCGACTGGCCACTGCCGTTTTCTCCTACCCCAGGCAGCAAAAATCCAACGCATCCGGGCTTTTTGGGCCAGAAGATCCAACTCGGGCTCCTCTTGACTCCGGTAGCTGGGAGGAATCTGCTGCTTACGCTCGGTTCTTCCTAGCTTGCAGGCTCCGGACCATGGGCAGCCACGTCAGGACTATGTACACAGAGGTACTGCCGTACCAAAAGTACAGCAACCAGGATGGCTACCTCATGCCGGAGAATCCCCTCGAGCATTCTCCGCCTCCACCACCTCCCCCGGCCGCCAGCTCGAACGAGCCAGCGCCCTCGACACCGGCTACTGAGCTGCAGGGCATTTGGGCGGAAATGGACTAGGCTTCAATCGCAGGACACAGTCCACCCTAGCGGCATATGGCACAGCCTCCGCCACGCGGCTACTGTAACCATTTCGTCGCGGAATAGGACACAGTCCAAAGCTACCTGAGTCACAGACTCCGTCCCAATGCCTACAGCGCTGGCCTTAGCCCGAGAAAAACCTGAGCATATGTCTTGAGCGCAGTTGACAGCACTATCCAGCTACCGTTTGCTTGAGCTCGGCTTAGAATCGGTTACCGGCTCACCACTTGCGCTAGTGCCAATGGTTGGCGAGGATGATGGCCCAATCCGGGCCATTTCCTTTCCCGCTGCGATCTTCGCAGATTACATGGAGGACTACCTCACTCTTTCGGCGCTGAAGTTGTACTGTGAGGAGGCCCAAGTGTCCCTGCCGCCGGCAGCGGGAACATGGCCCTCCAATGACATCACGGCATGGGCACACACAGCTCTCCCACCCCTGCAGTGGCAGCAATTCGAGAAATATCTCGATTCAATGGCTACCATGACCTGCTCCGAGGCAGAGGAAGGCTGCTTGGTCAATCCCATCCCACACGGAGGATTGCCACACATGGTACCCAAGGCAGAGCAGATAGCCAGCAGCTGCATCACTTCTCGCTGTCTTTCCATCTGGTCATCGGTCCGTCAGGTTCTGCAGTACCTACCTTTCGAAGCCCACGACAGATGGGAGTGCACTCCCCGTGCGGCCGGCTCTTCATGTGGCCAGCGATTTCGGGTAGGGGCCTTCTGCCGAGTTCTTCCTGGCCTGCTTAAGGAGACGGTTTCCCATCCCAACGTCACTCGACTCTTCAACGCCTTCGTGTACTCATGCTATCCAGAACACCAGTGGACTTCGCTCGA